CACGGACTCAAACAAGCTCAAACGGACTCATCACAAACTCAAACAGACTCAAACAGACTCTAACAGACTCAAACACAGTGACACAGACTCACACAGACTCAAACACAGTGACAGAGACTCAAACAGACTTATCACAGACTCACACAGACTCAAACAGACTTAAACAGAGTGACACAGACTCATCACAGACTCACACAGGCTCGTCACAGACTCATCACAGACTCAAACATGCTCATCACAGACTCATCACAGGCTCATCACACACTCGCACAGACTTAAGAATGCTCGTCACAGACTCAAACATGCTCATCACAGACTCGTGACTGTGCATCCATGTGTCTGTATGTGTCAGTGTTTGTGTGATAATATTTTTCACTTGCATCTACGTGTTTGTGCACATGTGCTCGTTACTTTTCATGCGTTAGGATATGTTTTCACTTACTCTATGTGAAAGTGTTTACTTGCACGAAAACTCACCGATTCTTCTGTCGAAAAACAAGTGTGACCATCCAAACGTCACCGATGTCCCAGGGGCCAATAAGAAGCACAAAAGGGGACAAACATAGAGAGGAAAACACAATGTCATTACCACACAGCATTTGGTAATCCGCCAGACACCCTCTTCCCGCCCCCCCCGGTTGATGCCTGTTCATATAAAATACAACAATACAAGGAAAAACGACAGATACACACAACAGAAGCGGCAGACAAGGGTCATACATTATCGTTAATGACAGGATTACAAAAATTCATGATTTGTCACAAAAATCCGTGATCTGTCACACAAAGACATGATCTGTCACACACAGACACACACACACACACACACACACACACACACACACACACATAAAACACACACACAGTCTCTCTCACATCCTTCTTCAACACCATCGCTACAAAGGAGGACAAGAAGGCCTCAGACCCTTTGTACCACACAACAGGACATAAATGTCCATACTCTCTCTTTCTCTCTCTCTCTGTATATATATATATATATATATATATATATATATATATATATCACACACACACACACACACGAGCATGCACACACTGAACCGTTTTCCATCATATATTCTCATTTTTTAAATTTTTTTTGGCGCTGTGTTTTTCACCGGCTTTCCTTTCCTCTTCGATGCCCCCCTCCCCTTCCCATGATCCTGCTGTTCTGCGGATTCGGACGCTGCTTCTTCTTTGTTTGCGTCATTAGCATTCGCCCTCCTCCTCTCCTATCTTTGTCTGACCACCTCTTTCTCGTCGAGGATGTCTTTTGTAAAGACACACCAACGTGGTTTTTGCAATGCGTCAACGAGCCTCATGTCCTTCGTCAAGATCCTGACCCGCTTCGAATGGATTGCAACCTCATTCGTGTTTTCCATGAGATGCACAAGATAAGCTTCAGCTGCCTCCAGAAGTGCTCGAACTGCAAGCATCCCGAACCGCATTGGATTTGATGCAACCTCTTCTTTGTTCACAATCTCGCGCACAAGCCTTACAAATGGTCTGTAAGCGATGCAAAGGTCTATGTTGCGTTGCAGGCGGCGCATTTCTGCCACAGATGCCTGTCCAGGTTGGCGATTCCGCCTCAGCGCCTCTTGCCTTCCACCAATTTTTCGTTTTGTCTCCCCATCCATTGTTGTTCCACCCTGCCCCCTCCCCCTTCCTCTCCCTCTTCCTCCAGCTATTGCTCCCCCCCCCCCACTTCCATTTCCTCCGCCCCCTCTCTCTGCAACCGTCGTTGTCCCCTCATACTCTCTTCTGGTTGTCGCCTTCCGCTTCGTTCCTTGCCCCATCCTCCTGCTACCATCGCTGCGCATCGTGCCACATGCTGGGGTGCTCTTGTCTACAACACCACATCCCGTACTGGTGTTTGCAGCTGGTTTGTCAAGATCACATCCCACACCCGTGTCTTGAGGTGGTCCGTTTACCTCGCATGTCAGTTGTGCTGTCTCTTCAAACTCAGGTTCTCGAATGATCGCATTATAATCATTCCCTGCCATATCCCCCACTGACATGTACTGAATGTGCCGCAGCAAACCATCAGAGTACGTCACAAAAAATGAAACACCTAGAGGGTTTCTGAAGATCATGCACAGGTCTGCCCCGCTGGCATAATGCATGGGACATACAATGGGTACCCATCCAAGAAGTGTTGTCCACCCGTATCTGCGGCGAAGGAGGCTCAGACGGTTATGAGGAAAATCATTTGAAGGGTTTGTGCCCACACCAGCACCGTGCATTGACCACATGTTCTCATCCTCACGTCCGTCATGTCCACACAACACCATATGACGGTCATCTTCCTTCAATGTATCCCAACACAGCTTTGCATGTTCGCATAATAACGCTTTGTTTTCCACCCTTGCATTGCATAACGACACACGAGCCAGAACAACCATGAAATGCCAATGCTCAACAACACCTGAAGGCATCCAACCCATAGGTACCCACTCGCTTAAACGCAGTCTGGCTGCCATCGTCACTTTGTTTTCAAAGATGCCAGGATGAACGACACCGGGTACCCAATTCACATGATACCCGTACATCTCACCGGATGAACGTCTGTCCAACTCAGACTGTGGAATAACAGTCCCGGATATGTCAATAGCAGACAGCCTCTCAGGCGTTGTCCTATCCGGGTCCCATACGTCAACGAACAGACCATCGTAAGTGACCTCCCTTCCTCTTACATGCCGCAGACAAATGTTGTCATTTCCCAAACACAAGCGGTTATCGGGTAGCTGAAAATTCATAAATGAAAGTTATGAAGTGAGAGTTTTGGGCAGTCTGAAAATCCTGAATAGTCCTGAAGTGGTGAAAGGTCCGAAGACCCTGAAAACCACCTGTTTAGGCAGGCGGCATCCTGAAGTGGTGAAGGGTGTTTTGAAGTGGTCAAGTGAGAGTTTTTGGCAGTCTGAAAATCCTGAATGGTCTTGAAGTGGTGAAAGGTCTGAAGACCGTGAAAACCACACTTCACCACTTGAGGTTGTAGCCTGCCTAAACAGGTGGTTTTCAGGGTCTCCGGAGTTTTCACCACTTCAGGACCATTCAGGATTTTCAGACTTGAATGGTCCTGAAGTGGTGAAAGGTCCGAAGACCCTGAAAACCACCTGTTTAGGCAGGCTGCATCCTGAAGTGGTGATGAAAAATACGACTGTTGGTAACCTTCTCTCCCCCAAAAAAAACTTTCCTCTCTACAATTGGCGAAAACACGGGGTTCTCCAGCGGGATCGCGGGTTCCCCTATCGCGGCATCAAAGAACTCCAGCATCTCGAACTTCAAATAACGAGAGATGAACTCGTCGTTTATATAAACTGTACTCCAACAGTTCCCCATTAAATCGCAAACTATTATCATAATCTCCCCATATTCACAAGGAATAGTTGACGACACCTAACCCCACCGCGCATTCCGTCTTGCATCATTGTCGTTACAAACTTTATCCCCAACTCCTCTGCTGTCAAAAACCACCCATTGCTGAGAGCATTCCTCACGATCGTAAAAGAAGTCATTGACCTTTATTTCCCCCTTTTCTGCCAGTCTCTCCCAAAGGACATGTGTGTGTTTTACTAGATCTCGAACCGTCATGCCGTCATTCATCCTTTCCAATCGGTCAAAAATCATGGCTGTCATGAAATAGCATCATGTTGCTAATTTAGGCGGACGATAAGGAACCCATGTTTCACCACTCTTGAGGGCGAAGCAGTATTCGCCCCCAATCAACCCTGGTTGCACCTTGCCAGGTTCCCAATAATAAAGTACACGAATTCCGTTCCTGCTTCAGTCTTCGTGACACAATCACTAGCAACAATGCAGATCGGAGTGTCTCCGTTGACTTTCCCCTCGTCGTTATTCACGTCCGCATTTGCAGCCGAGCAAATGACACCCAACAATTCCTCTAATTCCATTTGCAACGTCGGTCCGTCGCCGGTCTCGTTACCTGTCACCCCTGTCGCTGGACTATGAACGCACTGTTTGCCAGCGTCTTCTCTGAAAATGACGTTCGATATCACTTCTGGCAAGTCTTCGGTCGTACATGCAAAAGTCTCACCCACCATGTTCGTCGAGACATTTGACTTGTACATCTATAACACGAGACATGACAGAGATTCGTAACAACATGTAACGGCTGACACGTTATTCGTATGTATGTGTCTGAGAGAGAGAGAGAAAGAAAGAGAAAGAGAGAGAGAGAGAGACAGACAGACAGACAGAGAGTACGTACGAAGAGAATGAAATGTGTGAGAGAGAGCAAGAGAGAGAGGGAGGGAGAGAGAGAGAGAGAGAGAGAGAGAGAGAGAGAGAGAGAGAGAGAGAGAGAGAGAGAGTACGTACGAAGAGAGAGAGAGAGAGAGAGAGAGAGAGAGAGAGAGAGAGAGAGAGAGAGAGAGAGAGAGAG